TCACAATTCAGTTCCGAAGTAAACAAGTCTTGGACAGAATGGGTAGAACTGAACTGACAGAACTGTTTTTCCCTTAAAGTCAGGGTTGCAGCTTGCTGGCAGGATAACTAATACCTATAGTGCATCCATATTGTGGAATTTTTTTATTATTTTTTATTATTATTATTATTATTAAAGCAGCAGTGCTAAGCATTGATGCAAGAGGTGTGTCTTCCCAATACTCAATCTGGATAAAAAGAAAAGGAGTACTTGTGGCACCTTAGAGACTAACCAATTTATTTGAGCAATCTGGGTAATTATTCTTCCATTTTAGTGGAAGTTTTACCACCGTCAATGGAAGCATAGCTAGGCCAGTGCCGAGTGCTTTTGAAAATGCCATCCTATATTTTAAAATAAACCTTAACTACAAGCGTAATACAACCCTGGTATAACCATTTTACTTGGATTAGTCTTGAAAGTGGGTATTATGCCTACGTTGATGAAAAAACTGAAGCAGAGACGTGAATCCACTCACTATGACAACAGGACACAGGCAGACTTAGAGACTCAAGTCTCCAAACCTCCTTGACCAACGCTGCTTCCCACAGACAATACCACACACAGAAGCACAACTATACACAAACACTAAGAAGCATCACTTTTACATAAAACCCACTGTGCTTAGCCAGGCAGACACAAATAGGAAAGTCGAATAGGAGCATGAACACAGACAGGAAGGTGTCAAGCTATTACTGACTTTACTTTTGATTGAATTTTATGAAGTTAAAGTTTCATATCAGTAGCTTTGCAAACAGTGACAATTTATTGTTACTGTAGGACACGACAAACTGCAGCAGGGACAAGTTTTTCTGAAACATGCTAGACATCAATCCCATGGTAAAATGACATTTCATCTATTGACTAGACAAAACAATTCAATTCAGAGTTATAACTGCAGCCCACACACTATGTTATACAACATATGTGCAGAGCTGTGTCATTTACACCATATAGCTCAGTGTGTTTTAGATTCCTTATGGATTACAAATTAAGACTGACTACCTCAGTAAAGTTTCAGAGGAACAGCCGTGTTAGTCTGTATTCGCAAAAAGAAAAGGAGTACTTGTGGCACCTTAGAGACTAACCAATTTATTTGAGCATGAGCTTTCGTGAGCTACAGCTCACTTCATCAGATGTATACCGTGGAAACTGCAGCAGACTTTATATACACACACAGAGAATATGAAACAATACCTCCTCCCACCCCACTGTCCTGCTGGTAATAGCTTATCTAAAGTGATCAACAGGTGGGCCATTTCCAGCACAAATCCAGGTTTTCTCACCCTCCCCCCCCCACACAAATTCACTCTCCTGCTGGTGCTAGCCCATCCAACACATTTCAAAGATTAAACAAAATAGTATGTTGCCACCTAAATACATTCAGACAAAACCAAAACCATTAGTTTATGAAGCAGTTTGTGACTGTGTCCTACTGAAAGCTGGATAATCCAACCCCCCACATATTATATAGTATAACATGCAGTACTTAAATTACTGCCCTGTAAAGAAGAATTATCTAGGTTTTGCCCAGAAGGGGCTGAGATGTTTCACCAAATAAAAGCATTAGTAGAATACTATATGCTACCGATAGACTGAAAAGTATGAAAGTCCAGATCACAGAAAGGATAGTAGTCCTAGAAACCACCTCTAATTTTTCTAAATCTGAAGGAAGCTTTTTTTTTTTTAATCTTAGCATATGTCCTGCCCTGCTTTTTCAGATGTCCAATATTTAGCATTTTATTCTCCATCTGCACGAAATTTCTTACTTTTAGGCAAAAAGCTTTAAGAGGACAAGTTTCCATTTAGTCCCATTTTACTCTACATATTTGATAAAGCATTGTGCAGATATTTGCTGGAACTGAAAAAGTTTACCAGTTACTAGAAATTTTTCTATTGGCCATGCAGAAGGGAAAGCTAATGAGGCTTTAAATTTGGTGCCCGAAGTAACCCTTCACTCCTAAGGAGCAGGTCTTGCATGAAAAGAATGTATTAGTAAGAAAAGTGATGCAAAGTTCTTAAATGCATTCTAATAAAAGTGGGTTTTCAACAGAGCACAAAATAGTCATGTATTTCTGTATTACAGTAGCGAGACAATTCTAACACAGTAAGGCTACCAGAGACATGCAGTCATAGGGTCTCAGGCACAGAAGCCTAACTTATACCCTTGTGTTGCAGGTGCACAATGGATCTATATGGGGGAGGAAGGGGTGGAGGTCAGGATTTGATTTTTATATCCAGAATGAACAGCAAGTGACAATTAAAGAGTGAGAAGTATGACTTTATTCTGAAACAGCACTCTGCATGTTGAAACAATGTGGAGCCTTAAAGTCTTTACACCACTATACATGGAAGTGGGATTGCCAGTCAAGTAATAGAGCCGGGACCAAATCAAAAACAGTTATTTGGTTCAAGGGTCAACTCCCTCAGATGACTGTGTGTAGGTTTTTATTTTTTAAATACTGTGCAGGTCTTTTACTGATTGACTAATTAGAGTGATTGGACCAACTGGCCAGCTTTTTTTTTTTTGGGGGGGGGGGGGGGGGGGGGGGAGTATTCTCTTTTTACTTGAGGAGTGCAATGTTGCCATGTTTCATAGCCGCACGGAGCCTACCACTGAAAACATCAACTATGGAAATCTGAAGGCAGAGAAAGCACCATCCAGACTGGGTCGTAAGTGAAGTCACCATGTTAAGCTCTCACTATGCAATTTACAACTCAGCTTATGCCAAACAGCTAAATGAAGAGCCACATGTATTTCATAGGTAGGAGTTGTAACACACTGAAGTCATGCCAGTAGAAGGGGGTGTGTGTTGTGGCTAACATTTTCAGACCTAATTACAAATGTATTTCAAACCATTAAGTAACTTCTTGTTTTTCTGTTTAGTCATCTTTTCGGCAACAAGTGCAAGAGAGGAAAACTGACAAGGAAACAATGTAGAGTTGCTAGATTACATTTTTAAAGTATATGCCAAGACCTTGTCATAGAATCTCAAAACTTACATACCTTTTGATCTCCCAACCTTAAAGTATAACTTTTATATTTCATTCCTTCTCCTACCCTCTTTAATTGTTTGACTATAAATTGAGGGGGAGAAAATATTAAAATTTTGTAACCTCAGTGTTTAACTTCACTGCAGTCACCAACAATTAATACAATTTGTTAGGTTATCTGTTCTTGGTTTAAGTTGAATCAGTTATCCTGAAGAATAGTTTGCCAATTTTTTCCATCTACCTCCTGAACTTTAATTCTCAGACATTCATTAGTGTAACATCACAGACCGTATTCTCTGGAAAGGATTAACTGATCACTTCAAAACCATACACTCTGAGGTCTTACATAAGGTTATATAACATATCTGGAAGTTAAACTAGGCTAAATAATTCACAGTAGGCCAGATGTTCAGTGCTAGCTGCATGCATAAAACTGCACATGCATCACTTCTACATAAATACCCAGTGCACAAAATACCTGATGAAAGAGCATAAATATCTACTGTGTAAAGCAGGCATAGAGGACCCTTGCAAACCATTGCTTTTGCCTAGCTTTGAAAAATCTACAAATTTTCTACAAATCTACAAATTAGTACTTTGCCTCACTCCCCATTCCATTAATGTAAGAAGGCACTTTTCTGCATTTTTAATGTTGGTTAGTAAGTGTGTAAACCAATGGTACTCAAGTCTATGCAGCTGAAGACACCGCATTAATAGCGGGTTTATATAGTTACTCACTTCCTTGACAACTTAGTTTTGAAGATGCTGACATTTATGAATCACAGTTACTCTTCCTTTTACATCAATGCCAGAACATTAGAAAACACCGCTAATATAGATATTTTGGGTTTGCTTTTCATTTACTGACAGATATAGATAATTTTGTGGAAGTCTATCTACAGATGGGCATGTTGCCCCATATAGGAAGAAAAGGGCTTTTAATGCAGTGTTTTCAGAGATATTGTATACTTGTGTTCAACATCTTAGTTACAAGACAATGCAGAATATTACTTTCGGACAAGTTGAAATGTATACATTGGGGGGAAAGTGACAGTTATCCAGCCAGTTCTGGGGAAAACACCCTATAGATAGATACTTCACATATAGGTTTGGAAAGGAAACTATAAGCCATGTTTTCAGTCATATTGAAGAAAACATTTGCAAAGAAAAGCCCCTTGGCCTGAAGCTTGAAGGAAGCAGGTGTTGAAAAGCAAAATATGGTTCCCCACTTGCCCAAATCACACAGACACAAGAAGGCTACAAATGCCATCCATGAAAGAATGCACCACAAACATCAGCATTTATTCATTTTGAATTTAGCAATTGACAAAAGACCCAGCTCACCAGCTTTACTTTTTCTTGTTTTCCTAGGCTTAAACATTACATATTTAAACATTGTCAGAACTTACTAAGTTGTTGGCATTCATGCACAACTAGAAAACATCCTTAATTTATTTAAACCAGAAATGCATTACTAGGAACGTATTAACATCTTTCACTACTAAATATTAAAAAAAAGTTGAAATTATTGAAAAGTTCATCCTTGAAATGTTAATTTCACAGCAGACAAACTACTAGTTGGCTCACATTTCAAACAAAATGGGAAAAGCAAGATTCATGCTAGTGGTTAGTGTACATTTTGCCTAGCACTACTGAAGGATCACAGCTAACCTTGGATCATGTTTAATAAAAAGCAAAGTGCATACAGAAATTTACAACAATTTAAGGACAAAAAATGGTCCTACTGATGTGGTCCCAACAATTAACTCAAAAGTCTATGACAAATACCATGAGCTCCGATGAGCTGTTTATAAATACTTTAGATTAAGTACAGATACTGAAAGAGTTCGTTTGAAATCTTCAAAAAAAATGTTCCCGTTACTCCTCAAATGGTGCTTGTTATAGCTTAAAATTTCTGTTAACACGTGCGTTGAATTACTTGTTATCCAAGCGTAGCAGCTGCTCCTTACCATTTACTGTTAATGACTTTAACTGGCCATCTTCTTCAACTTCCACTCTCTCTTGTCCATTCTCAACAATTCTGTAAGACAAAAATTCATTTAATCATAGTTTTAAAGCATTTTCAATATGATCAAAGTACACCACACATGTAGATATTTAGGAAATGAAATACATTGCCAAGTCTAGGGCCAAAGCTTGGCTGATGCAACTGCAGTAAGTGAGTGAACACATTCAACAGTGGAGAAGCCACAACAATTAGCGTCTTCTTTCCCACCCCACTGAAAAGCCTTTCTGGAAGTGACTCCTAGTCACTGCAGCTGAAGTGGCACTCTATTCTCCATAATCACAGTTCTCCTCTTAGGCTGAAGTTCTCATCTCTTTCCTTTTCTCCCCACCCTCCCATTCAAAAAGCATCATATGCAATTTTAGTTTTGAGTTTCAGTTAAAAGTAGTAGTTAGGAACTGTGGCAGTTCAGGCTGACAGATGTGTTCAGCATAGCGTGTTTTATGGTGTATATTTTCCCCACAATATTACACTGATATGTTTTAGTTAAGCAGGATGAACCACCACAGAGAACATGTGCAACAGCACCAAAATAGTGCTACACAGCATGTGCTTAACAGGGCCAAGTTAAGGTTCACAAGCAGGATTAACTTTTGCATCTCTTAAATGGTTTTCACCAGGCAATCTTGACAATGCATGTAGGGTTTACCTCCCCTTGTTAAAATGTTTAATGTGCAATTCTCGGTGTGCAAAGCAGTCCATTTTATTCCCCTGTCACTGAATTATAATTGCTTGTTCAAAGCACAAACGTAAGCCATATTTAGGGCTGGTCTGTATTACATACTGTCCATAAGTAACCTGTGTTTAGAGTACAGAAATATGTAGAAGCTTTTCACTTCATAAATCAATTGATAGAATTCTGTTTTGATGATCAGACAGAGGAAGGATCTACCCAGTGAAGAATCAGAGACAATAGTTGCTGTGGTCTGTAGGAAGTTTGATGAACAGGCAGATGCACTCTGATCAGTCAACATTGAGAAAGAGCAGGTAGTTGTCTTTGAAGAGAACAATGTTTGCTTGGGTTTTTTTCTTTAAATTATATAACTATACCCAAATTTCAGAGACAAAGTAAGTAGTAGTAGTGGCCAGGAACTCTTCCTCGCTTGGTCACAAGATGGTAGTCTTCTTTCAAAAGTATACTATTATTGTCATCATTCAAACATCACCCCTTTTCTCAGAGTGCTAGTTATGTTGAGCACAGTACATCTGTGTTCTGTATGTTGCACTGGCTTCTTATCGGCTTTGGGGAGCAATTCAGTCTTATTTCTACTAAACTTAAAGATAGAGATCCTGTCCATCCTGCACCTTAACATTTGTAACAAGTTTGCGGCCTGGGTTGTTCTAAGCATCGTTTGTTACATGTAGAGAGTTACCACTTTGTTAACCACCACCCCAGCTAACAGCATTTTGCTCCTAGACTGAAACAATTGTCTTCCTATAAGCAGTTAGCCACACTTGTTTGCTCTGTGGACAGAATCTTCTAATCATGTCTGCATAAAGTAATTAATTTGGCCTGTTCTTCCCAAGTCTATGCAACAGGACACAATGTGAGGTACTGCCCTGCTTTCTGTTTGAATGTCTGAGCTATTGATTCCTTCATGATGCACTATGAAACAGCTGTCCAGATTTTCCCAGAACCCACTATACAATGGTTTGACCATATGAAGTAGTTGTGAGGACTAAAAAGCTGCTGTGTGGACACAAACTGTACCATGTTACTTTTAAGTGGTTGAGATGACTCTGCCTCTTAACTGGTTACAAAAGCCATGGGTAAAGTTATGTAATGGATTACATTCACGGAGACAGCCTCCCAGCCAACAGCAGAGGCTTTCTACTTCATAGTCCAGATAGGTCAGTTCCTCCAGGCTGACAGAAGGTCCTCTATTCCAGAGGTTCTCAACCTTTTTTCCCTGAGGGCCCCCCCATGCTATAAAAACTCCACAGCCCAGCTGTGACACAATAATTGGGCCAGCATTAGGAGTTAGTAAGCAACTGCCTTGGGTCCCACATCAGGGGGAACTGTGAAACTAAGTTGCTCAGGCTTTGGCTTCAGCCCTGGGTAGTGGGGCTGGGTGCTCTGGGCTGCAGTCCCATGCAGCAGGACTTCGGCTTTCTGCCCTCGGCCCTAGCGAGTCTAACACTGGCCATGCTTGGCGTACACACCCTGAAACCTGCTCATGGCCTGCCAAAGGCCAAGGACCCCTGGTTGAGAACCACTGCTCTATTGAAATTCTTCCACATGGGTTTGCCAGGGCTTGATTTTGCTAACTTGCAGGGCATGATGCAAGGCCTATCTGGTTACCCAGGCCTTGTCTAAGCATCATTTTGAACGCAAACTGTAGCTCAATGACTAAGGAAGGACTGCAGTTTCTGTGTCATGGTATTTGTCCAGTTGACACTGGATAAATACCAAAAAACATTGGGGTTTTCTGGCACTGTCACTAATTCACTTTAATTACAAAAATGTGTCAAGAGGTTTGTTCTAAGGGACACCTCTCCAGTTAACTTATACAGTAGAACCTTGCATTTTTGCTAGTTTACAGATTGCATAATTCAAAGAAAAACCTAGAGGTCTCGCTCCACTTCTTAAAGATTTAGTATGTGGTATTAGTAGAGTCCATTGGGCTGAGACCTCATAAGTACTAAGAACACTTCAGTTTGACAACTGTCAATTACATTTGTGATGCATATCCTTAATTTATTGCATGGTATTTTGTCACTACTTCATATTTGCAGAGGGTTTCCCCAAGGACTGGTGTAAAATAGTGAGGAGAGGTTCTGATGTGTGTAGTGTTTGAACATTCACTCACCAGTAGTGAGCAATATGTTTTTCCTGGTGGAGAACCTTAACTCCTGCTCTTAGCTTACCTGACAGATGAGACAAGACTATCTGCACTTCAAATCCATATGGTCAGTAGGGACACTGAAAAGTTCACTTTCACTGATGTTGCTTGGGAAGCCTACTGGATGGGAGGGTCAACTCAAAACAGAGGCTGGGGAAAGTTGGAGCATAGCTTAGACCATCTGCTACGCTTCTCATGCTACTTACAACCAGAAAGCTGGGGTTGGAGCAGAACAGTGGCCTCCCAATCCCCAATCAGTAGCCCCACCGGTGAAGGGAAAGCAAGAGCATACTCCTTTTCTCTTCCAGCAGCCTAGAGAGGAGGGCTTCAGTTTTCAGACGCTTACTAGCTAAAAGCCAGTACTAAAAGATGCATCACCCCTGAGCAAGTTCCATTGATAGCAGCATTTTGGGAATCCCAGTATCCACTCCCTGCCCAGCAGCTGACAGGTGGCTGAGCTTCTCAGCAGGTATACCCAAGCATAAAAAGAGATCACATATATTCAGGATATAAAGGGGAAATAAAAGAATTAATGTTGTAACATGGCCTACAGCCCTCAGGCCTGTAAGATATTTAGCTTAGCCAAACAAGGCCTCAGGACTAAAGACACACTTGACATAAAGCAACTAACCAGTAAGTGACCTAGATCAAAATTTGTCACAAGATAGCAATGACCCTACATCACAAGATATCATAAGATTGTTCCATTGCTGCTAAACTTTCTGCTGCTATTTAGGAAATATATATTGTAATGAACTGGTGAAAGCTGGTTATAATATTTTTTTGGATTTTGAAGCCATTTCAGTGTGTTAGCCGCAAGTTATGGTGACTCAGTAATGTAAATATTAATAGAATAAGGAAAATTAACAAACGGTCCCATTTTTTATTGGCTATTCCAAAAGGTAGTGGGAGATGGAAGTTCAAATGAGGAAAAGGGGTGGAAACCTTCATAAATATGCATGAACCCCTGTGGGCATCAGCCTAACACATTATAAAAACTGTATGCTAATCTACATGCCTTGGATGACACCCACTGGTGATAACAATGACAATGAAGATGAGTATATTGACCAACACTGTGGGGATCCCCGTAGAAGATGTGAGTGATGCCAGTCACAGGGCTAAACACATTACACTCTATCTGCTGTTGTATTTCAGTGTTTGTGGGATTACCTATCTGTTTAGTAGATTTGCTAATAAAAAGGGACTTGTGATAAACTTCAGTTGTTTGTCCTGTACGCCTCAGGTCTCATTCTAACAACACTGGTATTCTTTCTGATGCTGTAGCTATTCAAGAAACTGAACCCTTATCAACTACTGTGAAAGAAAAGAAGTTAATCAATACACCAATCCATCAATTAGGCTACACAGGATGCTGCTGCTAAGGGTTTTCCCCCACTTTTGAATAAGCTCTTGGCTACAGGGCATTAGGTACTTTTTGTCCAACCTCTGCATCCTTACACATACTGTAGCAGGGAACCATCCTGTAAAGGCAGGGAAAGAAAAGAGAATCAAATAGGTCTATCATTACAATTCACACAGAATTGGATATCTAAGTTATTACATTTTGGGAAACCAAAACAGTAAGGGTAAAGAAAGTTATCATCAGAAAAATATTGACGAATTCTTTTACAACAACTTGCATGGTACCAAGTATCAGATGGGTAGCTGTGTTAGTCTGTATCCACAAAAACAACGAGGAGTCTGGTGCCACCTTAAAGACTAACAGATTTATTTGGGGACGAAAGCTTATGCCCAAATCTGCTAGTCTTTAAAGGTGCCACCGGATTCCTCATTTTTGTTACAACATTTATCTTGTTTATATCACTTACCTCTTTGTAGTAATTTTTCTGCCATTAACTATTTTAGTAGAAGTTGATACCGATTTGAAGCTACCCATCCCACCGCCACCAAATGACGTAGAGGAGAATGAAGTAAGGCCCCCATGTCCCAGTGAACCAAACGAAGTAAAACCTGGGGGGAAGACATGGTAAGTATTTGACTAAAGCACTGTAAATATAATTTCATCAGAAACCATTTAACAACTTTTACTTTAGGAAGGTCTGCTGGACCATCAAATTTTGATCTATTAATTCTAGCTCCCCAATTTCAAATACCAAAGTTACTCAATTTCAGAGCTGCTCGGTAACGGTTACTCCCACTGAGTTCAAGTGGAGTTGCAAAAACTAGGCCTTTAGCATTCAACTAGGCTCCAATAATTGAGAGCACTTGGAATTCATAATCTTGTTTAAAGGCGCACACTATTGCAGTCCCTTTTTTGGAGACTGCAAGAACACTGAACACACCCCCTGGTAAGGCAAGTAACACTGATACAGAAACTGATGTACTGAGAGGTTAAGACTTGTCCAGTGTAATGGTGTCAGTAAAAGACCAAAATGCAGAATAGAGTCAATTTCTTTTTAACAGGGCTTACACTCTCTTTTCATGAGATTTTAGCTATATCAAATAATACTCTACAATACCGCGGCTCTATTTAAACTAGGGGACTCTACAGGTAGATGTAACAGGACTCAGTGTTGTATATGATTTTTTAACTGCATTGTACCAATTTACTGTTCCAGAGAAACTCCCTCTCTAGCAATATTAAATTTGGCTTGAAGTTTGCTTTAGAATATTTACCTGTATCAAATGAAGAAAAGCCACTCCCAAATGCAGGAAATCCACTAAATGCAGAGAAAAATGGCCCACCACCTCTGTTTCTGTTCCCACGTTGACCTCGTCTGTTTCCAAATAAGTCATCAAAAGGATCTTCTACAAACAAAAACCAGGTTTTAATACAGGAGGTTGCAGTGATCAGTTTTATTCAGTAGTTCCTATATTTAATAAGTATGGGGACTTCTAGTAAAGAAGGAAGTTTCTTGCACCTTCCTCTGAAGCATCTGGTACTAGTCACTGTCTGACAGAATCTCTGAGCACAGATTTGATTCAGTATAACAATTCTGTGTTCCTTTGATACCTGTAAGAAACCAATATTACTCTCACACCCCAAACTCTTTTTGGTCTCCAGAACTTTAAGTACTATTATTAAAGTAATGGCATGCTGAGAATAAAGTCCTGCTTCCTTTGTGCTGTGCCAGTTTGCAAATGACAAGTAATCAGGGGGAACATGCAGAAATTCACTTTTCAGCAGAGAAATGTGTTCCACACCAGTTATGCTATATAATCAAACTTTATACAATAGCTATGTATGTTCATATATGCACACAAAAAAAAAATCCATGTTTTATACCAAATTCATGTCAGTTAACATCTGGGTAATTAAGAACTTGTCTCCTCACATAGCCATTAACTATAAAACACACTTTGCTTTAATTGTGCTATCAAGAAATGAGGACTTTTTTTGGTTCCAAGAGGCAACTGTTTGCTATTCATCAGAATGTCAAACATCTGAAATTACAACAAGAGAAGCCCTTCTCTCCGTAGAACACCTTGTCTGTCAAGCTGTGTTTTGGGGCTTAAACTTAATATTTGTTGATGTGATTAAGTCTGATTCAACCCCTAAATATTCAAGACTTCTTGTATAATTTCATTCAAGGTTTATCCGAGAACCACGCCCACCACGACTCTGCTTATGACAGGCTCAACGTATGTTAGTGTTCCGTTAAGACTGAAATTTAAAGGGTACTGGAAACAGGGAATTAAAATAGTCATAATACAACTTTAAGTGATCTGCAAATGTTTTAGTTTAAGTTAACTAGTTGGACGGTTAGATGCTTAAGAGGAAATTCGGATGATAAGAACTTTATGGGAAGAAAAAAAACACAGCTGAAGGCAGTGCTTAATTTGTAATTAAAGAGGTCCTGGGGCTCAAGCAATTTTTCTTTTTCTTTCATAACTGGTGTAAAAAGCCCAGAGGTGCTGGGGCTATGAACTGCCAAATCTCAAGGTGCTGGGACTCGCACAAATTAACTTCAAAATGTCCTTCAGCCAGTGCTTAAACTCAAAAGCCTATAGCTGGATTTAAAAAAAATAAACTGGCAGGCCACTGGTTCTATTCCCTGGCACAAATATGATTTTTTTTATGGTTATAAAACACTGGTCAGAGACTAATAAGTAAATATGGAATACCTATATGGAAGTTATTACTTCATAGAAAGTTACAGAAGAGGTGTCCAGATAAAAGGGAAATTCCACTAGAATATTACAAATAAGGAAACTGAAGTTTGAGTTTTACATCATACTAGCATAACATCAGCATTTTGCAGGACCATGATTTACACAACACAATGTACCATTAAGGTGGAGATCTTTAATGCTGAACGTATGCTATTTTGGATTTCAGTTACCATTGCAGCAGAACTTTACAAGATTCTATATTACACAGCACAGGACACTGGCAACATTTACAAAATATTTTACAAATATGAGTTATCTACAGAACAGTTTTAGGCAAGTTAGCCTGACCTGTGATGAAATGTTGTTGAAAAATGTAATGTTGCAAAAACAATAGTTTAAAAGTGAAATGTAAGAAATTATTTTCCAACATACGAGGTCTGTAATAGCATTTATATTTTCTTCAACTATAGAATTCTCCAATTCTAAAACCAATCTCAGTGTGATGTTGCAGAGAATGGAAGATATTCTCATGCAGGATAAGAGTTAAGCATATACTTAAGTCCCATTGAAGGCAATATCTAAAGTTAAACACGTCTTTGCTTTCCTGAATCTGGGCCACTGTCATTTTCAGTGAATTGAGAATGATCACTGTACCAATTAGAATTCCAAGTTGATTTTAAATGAAGATCAGAAACCAAGAGCAGGTTCTCTCCCTCCCCCAGTTCCCATTAAAATCCAGTTCCCACCTAGGCTGGAAGCCAGATTACTGAGAGCTAGTGAAATGACTACATTACAAGTTTAAAAAAAAAAAAAAAAAAAAAAAGATGAACCGAAAGGAAATGGCATTTTTAGCCACAGTTTAAACCTCTGCTTGGTTTGCTTACACCTACTTAACATGAATGACAAAATTAACACATTTTGAATAAAGGAAGCCTTTGTTGGAGAGCGCCAATACTCTTACCCCCATCAAATATGATGTTAAGAACTCACAATAATCCCTTATAACTCTCACTGGTCCTCCCACAAAACCAAGGAATACAGACCAGACTATAAATTTGTGAGGTAAAATATAGGAATTGTTTTTCTCCCCCAAAAAGCTTTCAGCTTCTCTTTTCCCATCAAAAACCCCAAAGATTTGTAACAACCTCAATGTTTAAAAAGAAAGAAATCCTTTGTAGGTTACCTTTAACACTATATGTGCGTTAGCAAATCTGACAAACTCTTGGAAATATTAAATTCTAATAATATTTTTGTGCCAAGTCATCATACTCCTGGAGTAGTAATTTCAAAGACTAGCATATGCGAGTCTCACTCCAGCATATTAGCTAGCAAATAAAGCCACTGCAGTTAACAGTGCTATAGTCCAATTTATTCCTGCTAGTTAGAGAATGACTCACTAGTGAGTTATGAAGGTCATTCACTCATGCATACAAGTGATCTATATTATATTACTGCCCACTATTATGCTTTCTATTTATAGTCCAGTTTATCTTCAGTTACCTGGCATTAAAATAAAAAAAGAAAAAAAACACACTCATGTCAAAGCTATACTATATATTTTTATAATCCACTGCATCACTGGCCACTTACAGGTGACCTGTGTCAGACCCATTATCTCCTTATCCTGGTCACAACAGCAACACAAGCTAGGAGGAGCATGAAGGAGATGGACTATGGAAGTCTCCAGGCTCTTGCCATCACTACTCATGATACAGGGGCTTACCCTACATTTAAATTATATCAGCAGAGCTGTGTCAGTCAGGGTGTGAAAATAAAACCAAAACCACCCCACCATACACTCAGCTGACAGAGCTACACCAATAAACCCCAGTGTAGACAGAGTTATATTGACAGAACAATGCTTCAACAGATGTAGCTAACACTGTCAAGAAAGGTGGTGTTCTGACCCCAAAAGAAGAAACTCCCTCTGCCAGCACAGGTTGCACCTATGCTAAGGGGCTATGCCAACTTAGGCTTCATAAGATAGCTGTAGATTTAGACTCCAGGTGTTTCCCCCCGTCTATGTCCCTGCCTGCTTCCATCGCTGCAACCCTGAAGCTGCCCAGACCTCATTCCCCATCTTTAATGCTTAGTCCTCCACTTTAAACCCTGTAGATTACACCATGCACACTTCACCAGTGCCTTACTCTCACTTAATTTTAAGTGCCACACAAAAGACACATTACAGTCTAACACACAGAACAAGCATATTTGTAAAAAATGGAACTTGACATGCTTATGATCACGTTGCACATAATATTGCCTTTCCCTGCTCAATCTTAATTGTTTTCTTAGAATTGCAAGCTCAGAGACTTGTTTCCTTTGCTTTTGTACAGAACCTATACATGCTTCCATAACATACTGATTGTTGGCTGTAATCAGCATCAAGCTACTGAAATTCAACTATTTTGGAATTCAAAGACAGTTATTTAATGTATGTATACATAAGTTGTGGACAGATGTAATTTTATCTTGGTTTCAGACAGCAGTATAGATCAGGGGAGCACCGAGTTATGTACAAGCCCCTCCCCTCATATGTACAATCTAGGTTTTATAGTTCTCCTAAAAAATAAAAAATTTACTGAGATTATATTAGTCATTGGGAAAGAGTCAACCTGGCTTTTGTAAGGGGAAATTATGCTTCACCAATCTATTAGAATTCACTAAGGGAGTCAAGAAGCACGTGGACAGTGTGGTCTGGTTGATATAATGTACGTGGAATTTCAGAAAGCCTTTGGTGCGGGACTTTGTCAAAAGCGCTGAAGCAAAGTGAACAGTCATGGGATAAGAGGGAAGGATCTCTCATGGAACTGATTAAAAGATATTCCTACTTTTGTTTCCTAAATTATCAATTTTCACAATGGAAAGGGGTAAACAGTTAGGTTCCCCAAGGACCTATACTGTTCAACCTATTCATAAATGATCTGGAAAAGGGGTTGAACAGTAAGGTGGCAAAATTTGCCCATGATACAGTGACTGGAGTGTTACTAGACAATCTCACTGAACAGGGCGACTAGGCAACAAAATGGCAGATGAAATTCAATGTGGATAAATGGAAAGTAATGTATACTGGGAAAAAGTCCCAGCTATACATACAAAATGGCAGGGTCTAAGTTAGCTGTTGCTGCTCGAGAAAGAAATCTGACTCATTGTGGATAGTTTGGGGCAGGGGGAGGTGGGAATCTACTCAATGTGCAGAGGCACTCAAAAAACCTAACAATGTTAGGAACCATTAGGAAAGGGATAGATATTTTTTCTTACTATCATAATGCCACTATATAAAACCATGGTACACCCAGATCTTGAATACTATATGCAGTTCCAGTCACCTCATCAAAAAAAATTGGAACTGGAAAAAATACAGAGAAGGACAACAAAGATTAGGAATATACAACAGCTCCCAAACAAGAAATTAAAAAACAGGAACATTTCAGCTTAGAAGAGAGGCCTGGGAGAGGTCTATAAAATCATGAATGGTGTTGAGAAAAACAAAAAGTGTTATTTATCCCTTCATATAACACAAGAACTAGGGGTCACCCAATGAAATTAAAACAAACCAAAGTACCTCACACAATGCGGTCAACCCACAGACCTCCTTGCCCATAGGATGTGAAAACCAAAAGCACAAGTGGGTTCAGAAAATAAATTAGATATCTTTGTGGACGATAGGCTCATCAATGGCAATTAGCCAAGATAGTCAAGGACACAATCACCATGGTCTTGGGTGTCCCTAAACCTCTGACTGCTGGAAGCTGGGACCAGATGACAGGAGTGGATCACTTAATCAACTGCCCTGTTTTGGCCATTCCCTCTGAAGCACCTTGTACTGGCCACTGTTAAAACACAGGCTATTGGGCTACACCAGGGGTCCTCAAACTGTGGGTCAGGACCCCAAAGTGGGTTGTGACCCCATTTTAATGAGGTCACCAGGGCTGGTGTTAGACTTGCTGCGGCCCAGGCCTGAGACCGAAGCCTGAGGGCTTCTGCCCTGGGCAGTTGGGCTACGGTTACTTGCCTCCTGCTGAGGGCAGAAGTGCTTGGGCTTCAGCTTTGAACCCCCCCACCCAGGGTGGTGGGGCCATGGGCAGGCTCGGGCTCCAATCCCCACTCCCGGGGATGTGTAGTAATTTCTGTTGCCAGAAGAGGGTCACAATTTGTTCTCTCAATTATTTGTTCTTGTTCAGAACTTTCTGAGTAGTAAGCATAGGTGCTCAAATACTTACCCGGGGGGGGGGGGGGGGAACCTAGCCTAGAAGAGGGCAAAATTTTTCAGCCAAAACACTACTCTAAATATGCAGATCCCAGTTGACCAAGTCATTTTATGCATGTGTGTTGATTCTGGTCAACTACTTTAAAAAAAAGGGGGGGGGGGGGGCAAATATTTTTCTTTTTGGGCTAGTACCTAGGAACCTACCAACATCTAGGCAGAATGGTGGTACCTCCCTCCCCCACTTTTCACTCAGTAACCCAGTAGTTAGAGCACTCACCTAAGATAAGAGACATAGGCCTGAGTCCCTTCTCCAGAGCAGGTACTTGAATCTGGAAATGTGGGAGGCCCAGTTTCAAATCCCTACTCTGGAGAAGGGACTTGAGCTCAGGTCTCCCACCCTCAGATAAGTGCCCTAAACCACTGGTTTACTGAATAAAAAGTGGGGGAGCAACACCACCATCCCACCTAAATTTTGGAGTTAGGCTCTTGAGTCCCCTTGTGAATATAAACCTTTGATTCCAAACCAAAATGAAGCATTTTGAATGGAACAAAAACATTGTTTCACCAAACTGAACTATGGAAATTTTGATTCATTGAAATTTCTGGGGTGGGGGGGGTGTTGTTTGAACTGCCATTGACAGGGGGAGAGGGGGAAATCAGTTATTCACTGCTGTAACGCTGAATCTAATGATAGCTTACTACAGTGCCTCACATGAGGAGCCCTGCCAAGTTGCAAAATTAGATTTAAATCTATAAACGTCATCTTCCGTTGTTGAAATTAACAGACAATAGCTCATCATTGTGTGCAGTGTTGTTACCCTGTTGGTATATTAGAGAGACAAGGTGGCTGAGGTAATCTTTTATTGGACCAACTTCTGTTGGTGAAAGACAAGCTACAGAGCTCTTCTTCAGGTCTCACATATTGCTTCACCCACCTTGTGTCTATAATAGATCACAAAAGTATTTTACAGTAGTAAAAAAAATACTGTAAAAGTTTAAGTTAAAAGGAAAAAACCTTGATAATATTGTAGTTCTTTCAAAACGCATTGTAGCTTGGAAGTTTGACGTTAAAACCACATACACACACCTTGGCATGGTGTATGTGTCACAAGAAAAAAAAATTCTGTAAGCAGACGGTGCCTTAAGTCACTCATAAGAGCCAAGAAAAATACATATTGTACATAGGTGTTAAAGTGGCCTCAGTTGGTGAAGCAGGGAAGACCTACAGATATAGTTCTGTAGACCATCCCATCCCTAGTGTTGCACATGCTTGGAAATGGTTCCTCAGTGTTCTCTCATGCACCACCACATCTAGTTTTGCTTCTATCAAATGTATTTTTTACATTCTTCTGCTGTGTTCAGCTGTCATTATAGGTCTTCCATCAATTAAAACCTCATCCTTTTCCATTCCTGTAATTTTAAGTTGAACACTACATAGGTGTATGAAAGATTAAGCTAGGTTGACAGAAGAGGCCAACTTATTTTACAGACTTTATGCAGAGTCTACCAAAACATACTTCCGGGTACAAGATAGTCTTTGAATACCTTGTGATTGTATACTACCTACCCCAACCGGAGAAACACAGCTGTTTCACACTTATCTGCAAATGGCTGTTTTCCTACCTGAAAAGTATTCAAAACTACTTGTGATTTTTCTGAACCTCAAATCTTCACCTTCTTATATGCAGAACCCAATTGCTGGTTGTAAGTTTAGCCACAAGTATTCAGATTTTTACGAACACTGAGTTAATCTTTTGTGGGTCTTGTTGTGATTGAGAGCTGAAGAACAAACTGAATCCAGAGTGTTGATAGTGAAAATATTTGTTACACTTCTTCCCACAATCCATCTTAGTAAAGAAACAACGTAAAGAGGAATCAAAACACTCTTTTAAAAATAAAGTTTATTGTTTTAACTAAGAGCTCTTCAGCAGGGCTCCTCCTCCCATTCTCCAGAGGCTTCCCCCTCTGATCTTCTACTAGGCTCCTCCCCTCCACTCTTCTAATCCTACACTGACATCCCTCCTCCAATATTTCATCAAATTCTTCCTCTGCCTATCCGACACCAAGTTCTTCCTCCAGCCCCTCCGCCGATCTGCCACTGGATTCTTCTTCCAGCCCCTCTGCTGATTCCTCTGCCATTCCTCCACTATATTCTTCCTCCACAAACCCTTCCTTTGATCCTCCATTAGACTCCTCAGGCAGCCAACTGATGACCACTGAGTAGGAATCTAAAGAAACATGCCCACTGCAATTAGTAAGTTAGTTCACCATTCTTAGCTACTTTGTCACTTACCAGTATATTATGTCAATGAAGTTGCATGTCACCTTAAAAATTTAAGTCACTGTACATATAAACTTCTTCCTCCTTTATAAAGTGGCCCCATTATCTGGCCACTTAAATAGGAAAGCGGCAATAATAAATGACTTCTATATGCTAACAAAATGGTTTAATATTTGTATTGAACAGTTATTCAAATTATGGATGCTTTGTTTTATAAGCTGATCACTAAAATGAAGATCCCATGTGTTTAAGCATTTTTACTTTGTTATTTTTCTATATATTATACTGAAATGAAATAGTCTGAGTGCAGGGATGCTGCAGTTAGTCATATGATTCCTTGAACTCAGTTTATGTTTAACTACTTAATTTCATACTCACAACAGTTGAGAAATAAATAACCACACCACTCATCAGTACCCAACTTGGAAGTAACTCCCTTTGCTCCTGGATCATTTTTAAGTGTTGCCAGTACTAAAGCTGTCATCCTCAGCTTCACTCCTTCACTAGAAGCAGAACACACTTCCTACCCAGAAGTGGAGGAAGGGGAATCTAAAGAGCAATTAAAAAAACTGGGGAGGCAGGGAGGAGGCTAGCTTCTGAATAGGAAACTAAAATCTTCTGACTCCTTTCCCTTTCCTCTTCATTTCTCCCCCACCTAAGCCTTTTTTTCTTCCTGCAGGTCAATGGGGCTCATCTCCAAAAGAACTGAAATTTGTTTTTTTCCATCATCAACACGGAGAGAATCCAAGCCTCTCTTCTGCCTTAAAAAGTAAGGTAAAAGAAATACAATTAAATACATTAAAGAAGAGGGAAATTTTATTTTATTTTTTTTAAAGCATTAGAAAACAAGCTTCCCCCTTTCCCAGGATTTCTTCATATTTGCATGTTTTGGTAGACTCGGCACAATCTCTGGGAAATAAACTGGCCTCCTCTGTCAATCTAGCTTGATCTTTCATATTCTTACATAATGTTGGCATATATGTAAATAGAAAGGCATGGGGAGAGGAAGGAAAAATGGGTTCTGATTAAGATTGTGAAAAGATGTTGGTGCATACGTGTTAGTTTATGGGAAGCTTCACTGCTCTCGAAACAAATTCATGGTACAAATCTCTCCCGCTGCACACTCAACCTGAACTGTACATGTGTATAGTGAACATGTAGTAGACAAGCTTCCTCTGACCCACTAATGAATTTTTTCCAAAGATTCCTAGGATAGGACAATGATTTGTGCTCCTTTCCCATTCAGGAGTTAATCATAAAAGTCACCTACTGTTTGCAGTAGTGTTGCATTAATTCCTCTTCAGCTCTATGGAATAACCAGGAGGTCTCATTTCACATGTCTTGTCTGTAAACAGGCAGAGAATTCTTCTTGCAATCCTCAAGATGTTACTCCTTCTGGTTCCTTTAGGCAGTTCCAGGAGTGAAAGGCTGAACACAGCATGTGTTCCTTTTGTGGATCAAAAGGGGAAACCAGCTGCACTTGCAGAGATTGAATAAGATCCATAGCAGTTTTGCTGAGATCTTTTGTATGGCCGAGGGTGCCTTGACAAGCACACAGTTCATTGACATGATGCTGGCAAGCATAAAGTATTTTTTAAACGGCTTTGTTTGCAACTAATTATTTATTTTCTTTAACTCCATGGTAGCCAGAGGCTTCGGAAGCTATTGCTTATGCTTTTTCTTTTGGTGGTGGTGGTGTCATTTTTTCTGACTGTCATGCAGCACCAGACTTGGGAAGAAAGTGTTTTTAAGCCATACAGACAGCAACCCACATTTACTAAAGCAGAACTGTTGTGTGTGATTTATTAGTTTCTTCTTTTAGAAAGATGATAGCAAACCTGATATACTATTTTTAAACAAATCAGACCTTGACAGAGCAAAAACTGACCACAAAACCCTACGTGCAACAGCAAAACACAAGGAGGGAGACAGGTGAAAAAAAGACTTTTTAAAACATCCAAGAGATCAGTTATAGTTTTCACTCCGGTGAAAGTCAAATTACACACATCTGTTATGTAGAGATGAATTTTAGCCACTACTCTGATGCACCACTACCCCCCAAAAGCTGCTGACTTACCAAAGAAGTCAAATGAGAAGGGGTCCCTTCCACCAAAAAACTCACTAAAGACATCTTCTGGGTTACGGAATGTAAATCCATATTCAAATGGGCTGTCAAAATGACTTCCACCTGCAGAAAAAGAAGTCACATTTCACAACTCTTCACACTACAGAAGCACAAAATATTTGAGTTGTATGTATAAGCTGTATGTGTTTCTATATTTTCTAACACACAGAATTCTAGTTTTTCACAATAGTTCATTTCTGGCTCATTGGATAGATTCTCAATATATTCTTCAAACCACATTTAATACTGTTGAGCGAGACTTTCATGTTAAAATTCTCACATTCTGTTAAAAAGATCTACTGTATCTAGAATTACTGTAATCAGTTTTTCTACAGCAAAGGATGTTTCCATCTTTTACTAATTGGACAGTCAAAGAGGTCATCTGTAGTTTATTAAACAAAGTTTCAATTTCTCCCCTTCTTCCCCTCCCGTCACTTTCCAGATATCCCTAAAGTTACTTTTATCATTTATGTTCTTCTGCAGGTTTCTAGACATCAATATTTATTTCTCATTATACTTAAAGGAACACATCTGACTAAAAATGAAAAGTCTTATTGTCGGAGTTTAGAAAAAAAATCAAAGCTCTCTGTTGGTGTTGAAGTCTGGTGCATCTTTACTTCTGAATCAGTATAATCTTGTGATGGCTTATTTGATAGTCTCACCTGCCAGCTTTTGATTTAGGTCAGTGGTTTTCAACCTTCGTTCTTGTGCAGACCCTTCAAAAAAAATTTTTGAATGGAGGTGCAGAGCCCTTTGGAAACCTTAGTCTGCAGACCCCCAGGGGCCTGGCGAACAGGTTGAAAAATCACTGATTTATATTACACAAAGAATCTGACTTACACTTGGCAAATACAAGCTAAAATTAGACACTTCAGTTGTTAAGACTATACTTATGATTGTAGACTCTCCCAGCAGAATTTGGGAAGAGTTCCTCCTCTGATTTATTATTTGACTACCTGATAGTCTTTCAAAAAGACGACTTATTTTTTTTTTTTTAAAACAAACATGACCAAGTAAAAATGAAACTTTCAGTTTCTGCTTTGCAGGTTAATGTCACATTTGTTTAAAAAGCAACTGATAACGAAGACATTTTAGAAAAATTGTAGTCTCTTCTTTTGGTCTTATGTTTTTATAAAAACTTTTCAAAATTTAAATGTTGGGCCAAGTTAGAGTCTAACTTGCTTTTCCTCACTTACTTTGACTATACAGACTAATTCCTGTTACATGTTTAAAATATTGTTTTGGACTAGATAGGCAAATTCACTGGCTGGAACTAGTCCTATCAAGGTCATGTCAAGTTGCTACTCTATGGTTATGTGCTAACACAACATCCCCAGTGGTTCCGTTTCTACATAATTTAATTGCATTTAAGAATATTTTAGCTCTTATGGCTACAAAAGCTTTTCAGAGCACGAACCAATCTGTAACTAAAATGAGTCTGCAGAGTGGAACAGTTAAAATCATTCAGATGATATGGAAGAAAACACATGCCAAGTTTACATACCTCCACCTCCTTCATTTAAGCCTTCTTTTCCATATTTGTCATAGATGTCACGTTTTTTAGCTACAAAAAAAGTTAATTACATCAGTTAAGCTGCATTTGGAAGCAGGAGAAATGCAGTATGCATCACTAATGTACTCAGTTGAATTTTATCACAGAAAGTTTTTTTAAGCCATGTTTGTTACAGAAAATGCAGAGTACAAATATTTTGCTAATCATCATCAAAGCACCACGGGTGAAGAAAAAACTGTTCTTAAGTGTCAATAATTTAGTTCTAGTAGCTACTAATAAGGTGTCATGTTCACCATCCTGTTTCACAATTTCCACTGAGAGATGCTTTAATATGCTGAAAGGTAGCTCTTTTTTGGAAGGAAGCCTATGGTCTTCATGTTTGTATATTCAGCAAAATAACTGAAGGCATTGTGACAAAACTGGTAAGAGACTTCCCACAATCTGATATCACAGTGGCGAAGGCATTTTTCAAAGACTGCTAGGTATGGATGCAGGATGGAAAAGAGCATAAGTCAAGGAGAGGCCATTTAACACACACACAAAAAGCTGATGAATTATTTGCTTGCCATATTCCGGAGTCCATAGATATGCAACTTCATTGTTAGTAGTCTTTTCCCAGGGCAACTTTTTTTTTTTTTTGAGTGTGGGGGAGGAGAGAAGTAAATCAAGTCTGCATTATAAGAATTCAGGCTGCTGTCTCAGTAATAAAAGTTCAGAGTGAAGAGTTCTGCCAGGTAGAACATCGGGCTTTTTGCTCCAGCAGCTCAGACACTATTCTGGAAGTGAAAGCAAGAGACTTGCCGGAGCATTTGACAAAACTAGACACAGTCTGATCCAACACCTATTGTAGTCTTGTCATTGGACTTTAATGGGAGTCTGATCAGGAACTTCAGGACTGTGTTTTTTCCCTGAAGACAATCACTTTTAACACTTAACATATTGGGACACTATAAAGAATTTAGTAAGACACCATATCTAAAAGGGATTGCGCCTAGTCTATAGGCACCAGCCACCATTCACAATCCAAGTCCAAGACAAAATTCTCTTGGATATTGAAAGCTCTATGAATTCCTTCTGGCTTCAGGTGCTTCACAAGTTTGTACATTACCTGCAACACTACCTTTCAATAGAGTGATTTCCTGAAGAAAAAAAACTGAGAGTCTTTTAAATAGCTTGTTAAAAGAGGGAAAGACGACCAATGAAACAAGAAGCTGGGCAACCTAGAAAAAAGCAGCAGGCAAGAGACAGGAAGTCCTGCATGTGGGCTGGCAGAACAGAAGGTTTATTTTGAGAACTTCATGTTCTTGAAACTACAGGCACAGTGTCTACTACTCAAATATTCTTTGCATAGATAATCCTTAACAGAACTACTCTTGCCAAAACCCATCTCTGTTCAAAATTGTAATGACAAAATGAATAAAATTATAGGAGAATTGATTGCATCTCATAGAAGCACAGAATCTCAAGGTTGGAAGGGACCTCAGGAGGTCATCTAGTTCAGGGGTCTCAAACATGTGGCCCGCGGAGCTTTTTGCTGCGGCCCGCTAAGCTCCCCTCACCTGCCGCCCCCCCCAGCGGGCCTCATCCCCGTTCCTCTACCTACCTCCAGGCACTTTCCGGTGCCAAACAGCTGTTTGGCCGCACTTAGGGGTTTTCAGGGGGGAGGAGCAGGGAGCCACATGCTCAGGGGAGGAGGTGGAGAAAAGGTGGGGATTTGGGGCAGGGGTTGGAATAGGGGCAGAGTTGGGGTGGGGACTTTGGGGAAGGGTTGGGAAGAGGCGGGGCAGAGCAGTGTCAGTGATGCAGCCCTCAGGCCAATGTATTAGTCTTCATGAGGCCCTCCTGGTAATTTGAGTTTGAGATCCCTGATCTAGTCCAACCCCCTGCTCAAAAGCAGAGCCAATCTCCAACTAAATCAAAAATCTCCAACCGTTCTCCTGGGTTAAATTAGCCACGTTGAATCAAAGCTACAGTACCTGATGTGTGGATCTCAACAGTATGATTTGCGCAGACTGGTTATGAAAAATAACCAAGTTTTATATGCTACATTACACTGAAATAACCATCTTAGTGCAACATGGGAATAGTTGTGCCAGATCAGACCAGATGTCCATCTAGTCCATTATCCTGTCCCTAACAACGATCAGAGACAAATGTTTCACAGGAAGGTGCAAAAAACCTAGAGGATGACATTTATGGAATAAGTTGCCCACAGAGAAAGTTTCTGCCTAGCCCTTATAAATTAGACACCAGAAATCAAAACAGGAGGCAGGGTGAACAAGTCTGTAGCCTACCAAACCAGGCCCTATTTTGAGAGGCAGAGTAGACAAAGGATGGTGCTGCTCTAGCAGAACTTTTCCCATAGTCACTTGCAACAAGTGACATTCACAAGGACATTTCTGGGGAGGAGGTGGTGTTACTTCTCTATTAACCTGAACAATGGAGAGAAGGATAGGTCCATCAATGGCTAGTAGCCAGGATGGGCAAGGATGGTGTCCCTAGCCTCTGTTTCCCAGAAGCTGGGAATGGGCGACAGGGGATGGATCACTTGATGATTACCTGTTCTGTTCATTCCCTCTGAAGCACCTGGCACAGGCCACTGGGCTAGATGGACCTATGATCTGACCCAGTATGGCCATTCTTATGTAACGCAGACAAGCATATGAAAAAAAATGGGAGACGTTTCTATATTGTAGGTCTTATACAAATAGTTAAGTTAAGGCTACCAGCAGGAATGAACTTCCTATGACCAACCCATGTGCAATGAATCTGTCTGGCAGGATTAATGCATATGGAAAACGTCAGGGCAAGGGAGCTGCTGGAAGCGAACCGCAGCCACTGGGAGCCGCGATCGCCCGAACCCGCAGACGCGGCAGGTAAACAAACCGGCCCGGCCTGCCAGGGGCTTTCCGCGCACAAGCGGAGGAACAAGTTTGGAAACCACTGGAATAGGTGAAGGGGGAAATGCCCAATTGTACCAGTTTACTTTTTTGGGAAGCAGAGAAGGGAGAAGAGTGAAAAAATGTCAAAGGATGAACTAGATTAGTAGGGGAAATGTTCGATGCTTTTAAATACATACACACAAAAAGATAGCTGATAAAGATCTTCCATGGTATAACATCCAGATATACATGCTATTTCTGATCTTTATTAGTATTTTTTAAAACACTTTTAAAAAAAAAAAAAAAGGTTAACGGCTCCAGTCAGTTATCTGAGGATAACTGGTTTTTAAGGTCAGGCTTGACAAAGCCCTGGCTGGGATGATTTAATTGGGTATGGGTCCTGCTTTTGAGCAGGGGGTTGGACTAGATGACCTCCTGAGGTCCCTTCCAACCCTGATATTCTATGATTCTATGATATAGAATATAAAAGATGCACAAACCCTTTGGTTTATGGTTCAGATTAGCTGCTGACAATGCTCTGACAAAAAAAAGAGATGCTTCCTTCCAAGTCAAGAATTTACGTTGAAGGGAACGAAAGTGACCTCTTGCTTATAGTAGCTCATACTATACAATTTTGATTCGGACCAATTCTAAGTAAATGATTCCTACAAGAGGTTAATCAGTACAATATTAAAACTGATTAGAATTTAAGGCTCCCAACCCCCATACTAAGTAGTTTCCGACAATTCTAAATACTCTAAGTCTTGTCAGCACTCTTATTACGGACCCCAAAACAAAGCAAGACAACTGTGGAATTTCAGCAACTGCTACACTAAATTTATAAAGTTAACTTTATAAAGACAAGTTAGACATAAATACACCACCCACACATTCTTTCAAGTTTCTTATTGTGACAAACCACTTGCCAGTGAGCCACTTCTTGGATTCTTCCATGTACATTACCCACCATGCTAGGTGGGAAGGCTGCATAATCTGTTTAGGAGATTGCCTCATGATGTATCACCTCTCCCACAAAATTTTGAAAGCTACAAAATCATTAAAAAGGATACCGCCCTTCTGACAGTGTATTAGAAATTAAATGATGTTATATTTAGAGAGAGTTACCCTATTGCTCGTTTTGACTACTGCAAGGAGAGGAAGGGAGGCTTTTGGTATTCAGCTCTCTCTATATATATATATATCTATGAGACAGAGACACCACTACCATGATCAGTTGCTGCATACAGCTGGCTAGTTGGTAAAGAAAAATATTTGGACTAGTTATCCCAATTAATAGATCATGAATTAGAAAAAATGTAGAACCAAGTGGTGAGAAGAAACTTCTAGGGGTTTAGAAGGAAGTATGACCACCATGGCTAATTGATTCCAAGGATATATTTCTCTAAATTCCATGCTTTCAAATCTTTATGAACTCCTGTAGAGAATTCATTCTTAAATCACAGGTCTCTGTAGACTCAGGATTTAACATGTAGGCTTAAACTGTTATATCAACTCAAAGTATTTCTTATGTCACGGAATTTCTCCTCACCTCCCCCTCATCCCAGCACCACACTGTACAACTACTTCCACTTCTTTCGAAGAGCACCACAAAAAAGGGCCATTTGTGGACCAATTTAAGAAAACCCCTTTAAAGCACGATGCTTCAACATTTCCACTACAGCTCCATAACCAAAGATTACCTGCTGCCAAGATCCCTTTTAAGACACTTACCATCTGACAAAACCTCATATGCTTCAGCTACTTGTTTGAATCGCCTCTCAGCTTCTTCTTTGTTGTCTGGATTTTTATCGGGGTGCCACTTTAAAGCTAGTTTGCGGTACCTAAAATGAAAAGGGAAGATAAATCATGCTCTATTTCAGTAAACTGCACTCATAAGCACCAGACAGATATACACAAGAAATACAGGTGTCAAAATAGAAATTATGAATTAGGACACTTAGTTGCTCAAATCTTATTTGTAGACCTATTTCAAGAAATTTTGCTGATAACACAGATAAGCAACTTAAGCAGTCAGGGTACCCTCCAGTTTTGCTAAAGAAATATTTTACTGGGAATCAATTACTCCTGGGTGCTGCTGACTGATGGAGTTTAGCTGCAAACAGGCCTCCTTTAGCTGCTTCTGTGATTCCCTCTGTTCTCTCAGTAACCTTGCTACATCTGAGTGGATTGGCTGCTGACAATCTGGTTTTCAGAAGCAATTCTTGCAAGGGAAGTTAGCCCTACCTCCTCCTCTGCCAAAGGCTGAGTGGAGAACTGGGTTGGCATGTAGGAAGGTGGAAGTAGGGAGGGTACAAAGAAACCTCTTTGCCCAACCCTGTAGATCTGGAGGCCACAGACTTGCTGCTGCATGCTCTCCGCAGAGTTCTAACAAACATCCAAGTAGGATTTAATGCTATACCGTAGTAGCAACTCTTTCCGTGTTTATAAGCCATTAGTGTGTTTTTGGTGGACAGACAACACCTGGAGGAACTACATTGAAAGATTTGGAGGCTACACCATATGCACAATTCCTAGCCGGAGGAGAGGACCCCCAAGAAGAATAATTTAGTGTAAAGCAGTTTTACAGTCTTGTGCCCCTCAGTATTTAAGTGTACAGATTATATCTGGGGTAGCTTTATGATCAAACAGGAGCATAAGCTTGAATGTTCGAGTTAAGTAGTTATCCATACAGGTATGCATGCCAAATTAAAGCTCTGATCCACTATCAGGGTTTGATCAGCATAAACCTTCTATACTAGGCTGTGGCAGGAAACTGATACAGCATGTACAAGTTACTGGAAACTAGAAATGTTGCATAATATTTAGCAGCCCATGAAAGGAAGATGTTCCACAAGGAAAGCTTCCTCCCAGTTGTTTCTGAAAAAAGCAATTGGAAACTAAGATGTGTTACTCATTCATTTTAGCATTGCTGCCAGACAGCTACTTTACAGCTGCAAGCAATGCACAAAAGTCTAAATTAAAAGGTGTATCTGATTGCTCTAAAAAATTTCCTAATTTAAATGTGTTCACCTTTTCATTAGTAGATGTTCAATCTATTAAGTCAAAGCATGGAAAACAGATCTCATCCAATAAAACTGGAGAGTTAATTTCCAAAGAAATTGCTTCATATACTTTTTTTTTTTTTTTAAAATAGAGGAGACTTCATCTTGGTTTGAGGCATTCTGAACATTTTGCAGTGGGAAGGAAATGGAGTCAGAACAACTTCAGCTGATTCACACAGCAGATGTTGCCACTACCTGTGCTGTTTCAGGAGGGAGCACTTCTAGGTACCATGCAGTTAGAGTACTTCACAGCTTCTTCAGCCTAACAGCTCAATGTTATTCTTGCCCCATTCAGTGCTCTGTGGAAATCACCTTTAATAGTATTTGAAATCATTACTCCACATTTTGAAGAGGTATCTACTAACTGATTTACAATGATAATCTGAAGCCAGTTAAAAACCTAGTATAAAAGGAAGTTGCATATAGCAGGGTAAGCCAATTCTCAAATGGTGAACCATGGTATACTTCCAGGAAGTCCTCAGTCTGGACACAGTGAAATTCTGAAAATTCCAGAACCTTAAGGGTTTCTAGAAGCTTTTTGCCCAAAATCTAAAAAACAGGCTCCTCTCCACACGCGTGAATGGCTGCATCAGGTCTTTTATTTGTGTTTGTTCCAATCTGATCAAGTTTGGAAGTGGCATCAGACAGTGGACAGATCTGTGTATGCACTAAGTGCAGCATCAGAATGCAAAATGCCTGAGGCAGCGGGTGTTTGCAGGAAGCAAGAGGAGATTTGGTACTGGTAAACATGCAGTCTACACCAAGGGAGAGAAAATAAAATTGATGAGAGGCCGAAGCCAAGGAAGCATGAGGGAGCCAAGAAAGGTTCTAACCTGAAATGATCTACAATAGGAGGATTAGAATCTACAGAGTTAAGTAATTTAGTCTAAATGAGACAAAATTGGCATTGTACACTAGAATGAACAGCTGATGATCTAATCTAGTGCATTTTATGTAGACCGCCTCCTTCATTTCATAAAACCTTATCTGAAAGTGACTGATAAAAAAGTTTATCTTTTTTTAAAAAAGAGCTTGGGATCAATTTTTAGAATGGTTAATGTGCTTTATTAGGAAACAAAAGTACCTTATGAAACGTTTCTCCTGACATGTGCACATAAAATGAAAGATGGATTTTCTGGAGCACTGCTGATCTCACTAATAATGAAACTTTTCTGAATTACCAATTACCAATACCAATAGAATGGAAATTTGATATCTAGAGATCAAGTGTATACATTTATTTATGAGAAGGTGTGCAAGATTTGACTTGAACAAAGAAAATGGTACTTACGCTTTTTTAATGTCTTCTGGTGAGGCATGCCTATGCACTCCTAGAACATCATAATAATCCACCATGTTTTAACAGTTGTCTTGTTAACAGCAAGTCCTGCAATTACAAGAACCTATTACTAAATGGGTACAGTACTACTACTGAGTAACGTGACATCTCTCCCTTTACATGATTTAATAGAAGGGATTTTTTTTTAAATCCAAACATTTCCTACAAACAGTAGTACAAGGAGGACTAGTCTGTTCCTATGTTGATAGAAAATAAGAAAAGTTATACGGATGCAATTTGGTTTTAGGTTCTCCAATTCCATCATTTAGGCAGGTATCCTACATTGAACTAGACAGGGAGTTAAGTCATTTCTCATTAGTGGATATGAAGTACTGACAGTATGTAACTGGACAGTAATATATTTTCTTGCATGCCAAAATTTGTCAAGATCTATTGCTAATGTGGACACTTTTTACGCAGTACGTCTATAGTGACAGGCCATTAGGAAGTCTGGCTACCCTATATTTCCGTAGCACCTTCTTCATACTAGAGTAGTGCTGCCATTGTAAGGCCTTGTTTACACTACCAGGGTAAGTTGACTTAAGTTACACCACTCCAGCTATGTTAATAACATAGCTGGAGTAGATGTAGCTTAGGTTGACTTATTGCTGTGTCCACACTGTGCTGCATCAACAGGAGATACTCTCCTGTCTACTTGCCTTACTCCTCTCATTCGGGTGGAGTACTGGAGGCGACCAGAGTCGCTCTCTGGTTGATTTAGCAGGTCTTCACTAGACCGCTGCTGCTGCAGCAGATTTGATCCCTGGTATGTGTAGATAAGTCTCCCTTCCAGGAGAGCATGCAGAACACATAGTTGCCTCAGAAGCCTGCAATGCTGCCAAGTTTTTTTGGTTTTGTTTTTTTAAAAAACTAAAGGAACTAGACAGGTGCAATTTCTAGTAGCCATTCATAAGATCCCAAGGAAGCTTCAGAATGGTATTCTTTAAAAAAAAAAAAAAGGACACAGTCATAAGTCACTTGAGAACCAATTCAGAAAGTTAATTATCTTAAGAACATATATATCCAAACCCAGCCATAAAGTTACTACAGACAACATTGGTCTATAAAGCATTATTAAATTCAGTTTGCTAGTCATTCCTCTCTTTTATTAGGAAAATTATAGCCAAATGAGAAGGACCCACTAGTCTGGCTCAAATCTAGAAGATGAATCAGCCAACATGAACACAAGATTAAGGTTATTAAGAGTAAAATACCCAAATGGAGTTTATTTTAAGATTAAGATTAGATGTATAATAGCCAAATAAATAGTTAAGCATCTTATGGTATGTAATTTTAGTGAACACCATTTTGACTTATTTAGCCTAGAGCAATAGTCTTGGCCAGTTTAAAAAAAGGCCATGATGTTTTTGGTCACTATTAAGAGACAGATATATAATATTAGAGGGAGTTCATGTAAATAAGCTGAGTGGTCTCTGGAGTATATGGAATCCTGCCAGAGACCTCAGCTAGCTTTTACCTCCTTGTTTTATTCTGTAAATAATTTCCATTCCTTTCAGCATTAAAACTGCCCCTGCTTATTCCTCCACTTTAAGTTTTCCAGTCATCTCTGAATCCAATTGTTCTAGTTCTGGTTTTTTTTTTAAAAAAAGTTTTAAATCCTGAATGACAATTCAATGGAACATCAAGCCAACATTTAAGAAATCATGAAATACAAAGTCACTCAAGTTAAATGGCAAAACTTCATTAACGCAGAGTAAAGGTTGCTCAGTGATAGCTCTTGCCCTTCCAGAACGCTGAGTTCAGCAAAACTAAAATATCTGAAAACCAGAACAGAGTTACGGTAAACATCCATACAACCGTAACTCTGTCATCTGGAGCTGGCAACAGCCGCTGGATATTATCTGCGTTCATTCCAGCTACATTTACTATGTTACGTGTAACTATACTGAATGGTGGAGGAATGAGTTGGAGTAGTTTGGGGGCAACTGTGACAGTGATATGAGGAGATCTGGGTTTGAGTCGTCCCACCAATCAACCTGTATGCGTTACCAAAGGAAAAGAGTACATGTGTACCTTGAGGTTCCAGTCTACATCATTTGTATCCTGTACAATTCTGTATTGAGAGTAGTCTGTGGATTTAATGATGGGTGGGGAAAGAATAACTAAGTGTTCTCCTCTGTTGAAGTATGAAGGGGCTGTAAGAGGATATGAAGTGGTTGTTAAAATAGAACAATGCAGAATTCTGTCAGCAGAGCAAGCTCAGGTGTTTCTATAGAGAAAGTGCAGGCACTGTCTATTACAATGAAGAGGAAAAAGTGTATGTGATATGAACATATTGGAGCACTGCTCAAAGAGGACAAAGTCAAGGCTGTGTGGGTGCTTATCTTACCTCTATTTCCTGGTTTTCAGATGTTTTAGTTTCACTGAACTTTATGTTAAAATATACTTTCAGCCTCCTTTATTATGGACAGTGGCCAAAGGTTACTTGCTTGCAATAGGAGTCCAGATGTGACTATGTCTAAGACAGAGGTGGACAAACTACAGCCCGGGGGCCACATGCAGCCTGTGGGACTGTCCTGCCCAGCCCCTGAGCTCCTGGCCCTTGAGGCTCACCCCTGGTGGTCAGGGGTCAGGAAACAGGGGGATTGGGGTGGGGTTCCGGGGGGCCTGTCAGGGGGCGGGGGTGTGGATAAGTTAGGGCAGTCATGGGACAGGGAGCGGGGGCAGGGAGGTTGTATAGGGGGTGGGATCCCCGAGGGGCGAGGCGGGGGGTGGAACCAGCTTCATGCCTTCCTAAACTGTATCAGCGAGATCGCCGGGACCACTACTGGTTCACGGACCAGTCGTTGAGAAATACGGCTCTAGTATACAGCACTAAAAGCATACTGTTCCACAATCATGACAATCCCAGAATATATAAATCAAGAAGTGAAAAATCCAGTGATAGTCGAGGCAGGAAACTTTTCTCTGAGCACAAGTGACTGTCACTGTAACAAAAGATAAATGACGTGAAAGCCAACCCATCAATGATGAGACAGCCTGCATGAGGAAGATCTGTTGCAAAATCCACCCTTGGAGCTAAAAGGCATGTGTTACTGAAAGAGTCAGCTTTTGAACAAGAAAAAAAAACCCTATAATCCACCAGTTGAGAAAAATCTGACATCTCCACATCCCTTTTGATGTAGGCTTGCAAAATGGTCATGGAAACTTACCAGCCAAGGCAAAAAGCCAATCTTTGCATTCTACCATGATGTAGACCTACTGATATTTTATTTTTCCTTTAGAACAAAAAGGTTACTTGCCCATGATAAAGTAGAATTTGCAAGGATGTTTAAGTAATTGTTCTGAACACCTGGGATTGTTTCATGTTTGAACTTTCAAATGAATTAGAAAAGAGTTGTCACAGATCAAGTTATCTTTTGTTTGAGATGGCACTGTACACAGTTTGTCCTTGTCTACATTTGCAGTTGAATGTTCCGCATTCAGTTCAGCTGCACCCAGTCATGGGTCCATTTTCCCAAGGTAAATAGTAATATTCAAAATAGACCTGTTGCTAATTCATTATTTGCTCCAAACAAGTAGTTTGTGGATTAGGGATGTAAGGAAGTAGAGACACAGAGGGCCACCAATGGCCATGAGTATTTCATGTTCCTCTATATGGGTACTTATACAGCCCCCATGACCATAGGTGGACGTATCCCTGTCCACAACACTCTTGTAAGGCAAGGAAGCTAATCCCCATTGTACAGATGGAAATGAAAGCATAACAATTAAGTGACTTGCTCAAAAGAGTCACAGGAAGTCCACATTAGAGCAGAAAATTTGAGCAAGATGTCCAGAGTCCCAGTCTAGTGCCTCAAACACAAGGGCATCCTTTCTCCTATACATATGGCTTCAAACAGTAAAATTAAATAATCCTTTTTTCCTACTTCATTTGCTTGATGGTAAATTGGCAGGAATAGGGCATCCTGCAGAAGAATTCAGAAGTGTGGAAAGGAGGAAACAATAGAGCGGGAGAGAAAAAGAAAATTAAAGAACATGATTCTTTATTAGCTACTGCACATTAGGTTAACAGCCAGAAGTCACTCCTTAAGTGTGCAGAAGATGGGCTTCCACCTTAAGTGCCTGGGATGGGAAGCTCTGGTGGTGTCTAGCCAGAGACGAAAACTCCTTTTACCATCTCTCCCTTAACCTTGGTTTTAAAACTTAGAAAATTCAACCCAAAAGAATGTTCTGCACCCCTCCTATGTTGAGCACATTATAACTGCAGGATTAAGTACTCAGTCAAAATATGTATTGCTAGGTTTTGACACATTTGTTACAATAGCACCCAGATGCTCTGAACAGGATCATGGCATCTTTTTATTAGGAGTTGTACTGAATACAAAAGACAGTTCCTGCCCTGAAGAGCTTTCAGTCTTTACTTGCATTATGACATTCTATTTCTCCAAGAGGCTACGTGCCTAAAAGTTGTGAGTCTATTACTGTGACCTGGTCTACACTTCAATCAGATCAACCTAGCTATGTTCGTCAGGGCTGTGAAAAATGCCACATCCTGAAACACACAGCTAGGTCAACCTAACTCCCACTGTAAACACAGCTAAGTCAATGCAAGGATTCATCTGTTAACCTAGCTATCACCTCTGAGGGCTTGTCTACACTTAAAATGTTGAAGTGATACAGCTGTACCACCGTAATGCTTCAGGAGCCAGTCTGTGTAGGCAATCCACCTCCCCAACAGGCAGTAGTTGGTCGATGGAAGAATTCTTCCATTGACACAGCACTGTCTACACAGGGATGTAGGTCAGCTTAATAATGCCACTCAGAGGTGTGGATTTTTCCACACACCTGACCAATGCAATTAAACCAACCTAATTTTCTAGTACAGACCAGGCCTCAGAGAGGTAGATTAACTACCTTCTGTCAATTCAAACATCTACACTACAGTGGCATAGCTGCTGCAGCGCCTGTAGTGTAGACATTCTTATGTCTGACATAGTCCATAAGAGTCAGAAACATAAAGACTACTAGTGAAAGTTTGCCGGCATATATGGGCCACCTACAGTTAACTTCATTATTAACTGAAT